AGTACAGAACACTAAATTAACCGACCTCGAAAAACATTCATTGCCTATTATGGCACTCTTAGAGGTGGAATATTTTCTTCAAATTTAAATGGAACCACTTCTGTGGTAAACTTTTTCCAACAAAAAAGGATCATCAAAATCGGTTCACAAATAAATAACTATCGCGTGACATACATACAAAACAAAACACAGTCGAATTGAGAACCTCCTGTTTTTCGAAGTTGGTTAAAAAGGAGACGCGCTATACCTTATGTATTAGCGCATTTTTATTTGAGATAGTATTAATTTTAGTTTTGTTTGATAAGTTCAGTTAGTTTTTTTAAATGAAGCAAGTAAATGTAATTCTAAGTCAATGGAGTATATAAGTTTCTTGCTTGCAACGCGATGTTTGCGCCTTTGAATCGATTCACTACAGCGCGTATACGCGCAGATGACGCTTGACGTGTGTATTTCAGTGCCTCGGTGGCCGAACGTTTACCATGCCGGACTACCACGCAGAGGTCCCAGGTTCGATTCCCGGGCCGGGAGAAATATTTGTATGTCCTACAATTATTTGGGTGTAATTTGTGGTTGTCTACGTGTGTGTCCATGGCATCCGCGACCCAAGGCTTCCCTAGTACACGGCTATGTTGAGTGTGTGCGTTATAAAAAAAATATTATTGACTTAAAATTAAGTAATAAGGTCTTAAGCATAAAAAAATAACGACTAATTTTGTTTGTAAAATATTTAGACTTCTCTCCTGAAAAGATGTCATTTTGCAGATGTGACCTTATTATTGACGAATTACCCGTGTCAATCTAGATAATTTCCTGTCTTACGAGCATCAAAGCCACGTTATTCGCTTCCGGACGTCACCCAGAACACCTAGACCTGAACCAATTTAGAAAAGATCATTTTTCACAAATTGAATTAATAAAATATTGTTTATTGCACATAAAAAATTACAATGACAGCACAGAACAGTAAACAGCAATTCCTTCCAGGCAACCTTAGGATTGAAATTTAAGAGTTGGATAAGAGGGTTAGAAAAGTTGGATAAATTGATTCTATCGACAATTTTAATTTAATTATTTGTTAACCTTAACTTAGAGCCCATACACACAGCGTACTTTGTACGCGCCGACAACGCACGTTTTACGCGTCATCTGCGTCGCCTCATCAACATCGCGATGCAAGCAAGAAGCTTCCATACTCACTGGAGTTTAGACTTAGAATTTCATGTAGTTGCTTCATTTAAAAAAAAACTAACTGAAATTAACAATCAAAACTAAAATTAAAACTGTCTTTCATCAAAATGTGCGATACATACGTGCGACTAAAGCGCGTCAGTGGCGCGTATACGCGCTGGGGGCCTACCTTAACCTTTCCAAAAACAATCTTATTTCAATGTAAGCTTAAAGTAAGCTTATTATAATATTACTCATATTCGTACCATGACAAACCTGTCAACCAAGTAATGTATTATTGCTAAAGTGATTGAAAGAACGAATGATAATAATATACTAATAATAATAAAATAAAGAGATTTTATTATTATTAGTATATTATTATTATGATTTCTCAATATTGTTTATTCCTTACTAAAAACAGGAAAGAAATAACGCTATATAAAGAAATAATGCCATCTCTTTCTTTTTTGATGTTCCGAATCGTCTTATTGTACTATAATCTTTAAGTACTTAATATTATTTAGATTCAGAGAATTTTAACTGTTAAAAAAAGTAGGTAATAATAAAATATATGAAAATTATGTTGTTTTCAATTATTTTTCGCATTTTCACGAAGAAAAATAAATAAGACAAACTGAGTCTTGATAGTCACTTTGTGAATTCGGAATTATAGTCTAGTGTCAACTGTTAATGTCACCAAGGAGCATATAGATGTCGCTGTCATAATTTCACGAAATATACATCGCGTATTTTTATTTCACGAGAAATGATTTCCTATGTACTATTAAATAAGAAAGTAAACAAAATATTGAAGAGGTTTATGTAAATAAATAAGTTACAACTTAATTATTAATCATTTCAAATCAATATTTAGGCAATCAATTCGAAAATAATGATTGTTTCCACTGCGTCCGAGTAACTTTTTAAGATTGCTAAATTTGACACAAGAACAATATTACTTTAATGTTAAAGTCGCGTCATAGTACGAACTAAGTGAATGAATAGTCACAAGGCTGCCAATAAAACATCATAGTTTTTACATTATAATAAGCTAGCTTACTTTAAGCGCGTCCTAGTACGAAAAGTCAATGTAAGGTTAAAGTAATATTGTTTTAAGAGCTTGTGGTAGGCCCCCAGATGACGCACGTTTACGACGTCTATACCTACGCGGGTCATAAATGCCGTATGCATAGGTTCGTAGGATTAACAATTTTACATATATGAAAATAGAGAAAAATAATAAAAACTAAAATAAATGTTGACATTAAAACAAACACGAATTAGGTCTCACGGTCACGAGTAATAGACAGACAGAGTCATGGAAAATAATAAAGGTTTCGAAAAATCTTCAACTCCAACCAATTACTTCTTTACAACCAACTAATTTATATTGTGGAAACTGTATTTTTATTTGCAGAACTTGGCCCTTTTCAAGGCGAGAGTGAATAGGCATTGTTTAAGAGTGCATGCTCCATCGTCGACTCATCGTCACTGTCCTCAGATGAGATGGAGGTCAAATGCACACTTATTTTTTAATAAAAAAAATAATAAACAGTTTCTGTACTAAAAAGTAAATAACATTTTTATTAAATGTGTTTATCACAAATTGAATTACCAAGGCTCACTTTACATGTATAAATTAATTACCTACTCAACAAAATTAGGACCAAATACAATCCTAAGCTCTTTTTAGTCCATTGATTTCGTTATTCTACACACGATTCTGAGGAAGAGTTCTATTTTTGTAT